CAGGGGTGGGGGGAGGAATGTGTCAGCATGTGCTTTTATTTACACAAACGAACAAAAAATGATACAGCTGATGAGGGAACTGGGTGTGGCAGACATCTTTAAGATCATGCTGAGCTTTGAACTTCAAGCTAACACCCGGCCGGCTGGTGTGGCTCAGTGGATTGAGCATCGATCTGTGAACCAAGAGGTCCCGGGTTTGATTCCCAGTCAGAGCATATGCCAGGGTTGTGGGCGTGCAGGAGGCAGCCAATCAATAACTCTTTCTCATCACTGCTCTTTCTATCTCTCCCTCTCCCTTCCTCTCTGAAATCAATAAAATTATATATATATATCATCATCCGGCTCATCAAAAAGTTAAACCCTTGGTAATAGCTTGAGATTCGGGTCAGTGTTTCGCTCATCTCTGTCTCCCCTCCCCCTGCTCCATGGCTTCCTCCCTCCGAACGCCCTTCACCCTCCCCTTCCCCTTCTCCATGGCACCCTCCTCCTCCATCTTCTCTGTGGCACCCCCCACCCCCCTCCTCTGTGGCATCCTTTGAAGCCCAGCTCTGATGCCAGCTCCTCCCGACACCCCGCCAGCTGGCCCCACCCCATAACAAAGAAACAGAATTTCCGGAGGATGACGCCCAGAAATCAGGATTTTAAAAAGATTCCCAGGTGATTCTAATGTGCAGCCAAGGTTGAGAACCACTGGCCTAGAGTCAGCTACCTACCCACCACAACTGCTTTCAGTTAAATTTCAGACCATCCTTTGTGATTACTTTAGGTCTCTGAGTTTGCAGGCCTTCCCTGAGCTTGTCAGGTTAGCATGTGGCCTCTTTTGTCCACAACACAATTAAGCAGAGACAGGGTTGAATCAAAGGGTACAAGTGTGAATATTCAAAAAGATGGATTAATTTTTCTAGATTTGGAATTTTAAAAAATCTCAGTAAGCCTGACTATGGAATCGTCTTCTTCCCTTAATTTTTACACTCATGAACTCTACCAATGATGTCATGTATCCATTTTTTGCAACTTACTTTTTCCAGACGTATACATATAATGTCTTTCCTTGGGAGAAAAAATCCAGGTAAACTCAATCTACTTGACTGTTCTCCTGGTGACCTTCACTCAGGTGTTATTCCAAAGATGCCCACGAGATGGCAGCAGAGAGCATTCCCCTGCCCCTTCTGCATTAAAATGAGCATCCAGATCCCTGGTATGAGCTCATTTTGATAAATTCCTATTAAGCCTCTCACGGGCCTCATCTTACCTATTGCTCGAATTTGGTAGATAAGGCACGGGCCTCTGTTAACTCCATTTTACAGGTATCTAAACTGAAGACTGATTCTAACACAATTCAAAGTCCAGAAACTGAGGCCTCCATGGGCCAAGATGGGCCAGAAGAGCTAGCACACACAGTATCCTGGACAGAGGAATCTCATAGTCGTTGCAGCTTTGGGTTGAGTCCTGCTCGTTCTGTTTGAAGACAACCTGAGTTGCAGGTTTGACCCCCAGCCCCAGGTGGGGCACATGCGGAAGCAACCAATCAATGTGTCTCTCGCGCATCGATGCTTCTCTCTCCTCCTCCCCCCTCCTTTTGATTCTCTCTAAAAATAATTGGCAAAAATATCCTTGAGTAAGGATTAACAAAATACAATAGTAACAATGTATCAATATTTCTTCATTAATTGTGACAATTCTGTAAAAAAAAAAATAGAGAGGAGAAATTAAGAGTCAAATGAGAGAAGCCTATTGTGTCAAACTGGAACCTAGAGGAAATGGGTGGTTTCCTAGTAAAAATATACATTCATAAAATGGACCCTAAAATAGGAAAAATACAAGGATAAATGACCCACACAGGCACCTCGCCCCCCCCCCCCCCCCCCCCCCCCCGTGGTTCTCCTCTCGTTGTTCTGGGTGGGGCTTCCTTTACAGGGAAAGAGGGACAGAGCTGTTTGCTGCTATTTGCAGGTCCCCTACGATCTGGCCCCGCCCAGTGCCTTCCTCTCCCCGCTGAGCCCCCTCCCCCCAGGACACCACACTGTACAGAGGGACCATCTGATTGCAGGGTCTGGACACAGATACAGAAGCAAAATAAACTAGGCTGCCCCGTGGCACTGTGGCCCCAAGAGAAGGACCACTTTCCTGCCTCTGGGGTTCCAACTGCCACGTCCACACCAGTGCTCAAGGCTGTGGGCACCCCCCCCCAGGAGCCCTGCTTTCTGAACACGCAGGACAGGATGGCATCTTCGGGGGCAGCCACACCCACAGAGCCCTCTGCCTCCCCTTGCTGGTGGCCGTTAGGTGCTGTCCACCCGCGTCCCGGTTGGCAGCCCTTCCCGGTTCCCTCTCCGGCTTCCACTGTGTGACCAGTTTGCGTTTTATTCTGTATTTGTCTCCCACATCTCGCTCCTCCTCTGAGAAAGCCCATCCTTTGCCATTGAATTGAGAACCTGGACTGATTTTGCAGAACCGCCCGCCGGTGCCCATGAGCACCACCTGTCCTTCCAGCAGGGAGCTCACTGAAGGGCCCTGTCCTGTAAGGCCATCTTGGGGAGACCGGGGCTTCCCCGTGGCCCGGGCCCATTGGAGTTGAATGGACTCTGGACTCTCTCAAGGGATCTGAACCTGTTGAAGTTTTCACAGCCCAGAATAATGCCGTCTGATGAAGGGCCTCTGCTCCTGATCACAGGAGCACTACCGAAGGTCTGCAACTGTGTTTTGATGATGCTGTGAAAAGTTGGTGGACACAGACATGAAACCAGTCCCCAGCTGCTGCTGCTCCCTGGACAGGCCCCTGATGGAAGCCAGAGGAAGAGGGGAGGGGTTTGAGTTGGAATGAGTGTGGGTTCCTGCAGGCGAGTCTAGTGCTCAGACCCTTTAGACTCATTGTAAGTGACCACGGCCGACACAGGAACAGAGCGGTGATGTGTCGGTGTTCAGCATGACATCACTAAACACTGAGGTCAGCCTCCAGTCCAGCCTCGCCTCGGAGCCTCAGCATCAAACCTCAGGTCCTCGGAAAGCTGAGCCGAGCCCTGAAGAGCCGCAGCCAGTCCCAAAGGCCTGATCCTACTACCATGGAGCCAAGCCTGGCCCCACAGATGCAAGCCTGGCCCCACAGATGCAAGCCTGGCCAGGCAGTCCAGGCCTCTCGGAGAGCAGTGTGGCCAGAGCCCAGTGGCCCTCCCTTGTGCTGCCCAACCCTGCCCTGGGCCCAGGTGGGGAGGGATGCCCCAGGTGCACCTCCCCCTCTGCCCAGGTGAGGCCCAGGCACTGGTTTCAGGCCTGGAGGAGGAGCCCCAGTGGAGAGACGCCTGGGTTTCTCTGGCAACGTCAGGGCGGGCCTCCCTCCCAGCCTCTGGCCCAGCTCCTGGCCTACCTCTGGAGTACCTGAAGGGTTGCCATCTGGTTTCTGGGCTCTGTTTACTGCTGTCCTGGAGTCTCCCACCTGGTGAGTACCTGGTGGTTGGGGTGGGAGGCAACACCAGCAGGTGGTGGACGGAGTGGGGCACAGGCAGGCCAGTAGGGTGGCTTGGCCTTCCCACCTTCCACATATGTGGCTGGGTGCAGACTAACTGCCCTTGCTTTGTCATGGTCCCCTGGGGAGGGGAATTCCATGGGGCTCCCTCTGAGGGCTTGGGGACTCCTCGGGGGCAAAGCCAGTCTGACCCTGAGAGGGGGTTGCCTGCCAGCCTTCCCCACTGCCCTGCCCTGCCTTTGGGCTCAGGTCCCACTGCGGGTGGACCTAGATTGTCATCTAATAAACTCTGCCTCAGTTTTCCCATTTGTAAAATGGGGATAAATACTGTCCCAGACCCCAAATTGGCCTGAGGGTTCAGTTTCTGGTTTCACCTGGCAGGTCCACTTCCGACAATGGGCTCAGCACCGACCCCTCTAGGTAACTCCTCCAGCAAAGGGCATGGACCTCCAGGCATCCCGTCTTTCCAGAAGATTTCTGTCAATTGAGAGTTAGAGGCTGAGGCAGCAGGTGGAAGGAGACCCTCAGCCATGCCCCCAAAGCAATGACCCTCAGCACTGTTCTGGGCCCATGATGGAGTTGGTCCCCAGGGCAGAGGTGTCTGTCCATAGGCCCCTTCCCCAGGTGCTGGGATCCAAGGCTGTGTCACTGCCTGGGCATGCCTGGCTCGGGGGCGATGCCCGGGGCAGGGCTCTGCTCTGGGTCCTGTGGCTGAGCCAGGTGGCAGCACTTCCTCTTGGACTGAGGAGAGTAGCCCAGGCCACCAGTCGCCTGGGGAACGTGCTGGGAGCAGGCCTGGGAGGTGGCTTCCTGCAGGCCTCTCTGTGAACATGTCCATGAGTCTGTCCTGAGTGGACAGTGGCTCTGCGCTCCTGGCAAGCTGTGGGCTCAGGTTTCCCTGGGCAACTGCGTCTCAGTCCTGACTTCTTAGCCGAGGGGGTGCGGCCAGCTGTGCTGTGTCGCTGCCTCTGATGTGGAGCCCTGCTCTGTGGTCACCGCTTGTCCTCGGTGCTCACTCTTCCCCACTGATGCTTCCCCAGCCTCCACAGCTTCTCCAAACGCTGGCTGTGTGTCGTCTCCTCCTACCCTGGCACCTGCCACCTCGGTGTGGTCCTGAGTCCTCTTGGGGCCCGACCAGCAGGGAGGAGCCAGCCAGCCTCCCTGGGAAGGGGCTGGTGGAGGCACTGAGGCTGGGGGACACCCCCTGACGAGACCCCACACCAAGCCTGCTGGCAGCCCCCCTAGCCCGCCCTGCTTGCCTCTCTCCGGAGACCCTGGTGTGAGTGTGTGTGCATGTCTGCGGGTGCGTGCACATGTGTGCATGCGTGTGTGCGTGTGAGCTCCTGGGTGTCAGAGAGGTGGCCTGTGCTTTTGAGCAGCAGGTCTAAGGTGCCCAGGTGCTCGGTCATCAGCCTGTCACTTCCCCAGATGTGACCTGAGCCTGGCTCAACCTCCAAGACCTCTGTGTGGACCCTTGGGCCCCTGACCCTCTCCGGCCCCTGCTGCCTGGTAGCTTCGGGCCTGGCCTGTCGCAGGGCCAGTTTGGGGACCGCTGCTCTCCCAGAGCTGGGTCTGAGTGCATGGCCGTTGGGTGCCATGCCAACGCCCAGACCTGTTGTTGCTGCCCAGGTCTCTGTGGTCTCCAGCCTGGGGCCCCAGGAGGTGGGCGTGGCAGCTGCGGGCCTTTCTCCTTCACGGTCCACTGGCTGTCCCTAGCCTGCTGGGCCTGCTCAGGGCGGCTTCTCTGGGGACCAGGCGGTGACAAGTAAACAGTGTGGCTGATCAGAGCCGAGTGCTGACACTCCCAGAAGGAAGCCTGTCCCCACCCACCGCCCGCCATCCAGCCCGGGCCCCGGGCTTCTCACGGGGCAGCAGGCTGCATGGGGCACGAGCAGCCCCTGGGGGCTTCGAGGCAGAACCTGCTGCCTAGAGAGTCTCCACTTCTGTGGGCTCCACACAGGTGCCTCGAGGAGCTGGGTGGTGGCCGCAGTGGGCAGGCTAGGCTGGGGGGGCTGGTGAGGACAGAGGTGCGGCTTTCTTGGTCTGTGCCTGGCCTCAGGGTCACACTGGGTGTTCTGTGTCTCTGACCTTACACAGAACCTACGGGTACCTGGTGTGTCTGGCAGTCGGGGCTCCCTCCACTGTGTCCACCCAGCACTGGGAGGGGCAGGAGGGGCTGCTCCGTCTGCTCCAGCTCAGCAAAGCCCTGCCTTCTGACCCTGCCAGGACACAGGACTGGAGGCAGCGACTGGACTCCTCCCCAGGGTTGTCCTCATGAGCACCCCCCCGCCCCGTGCCCGGCCACGAGCATTCACAGGCCAGGCCACACCTGCCCCCAGCAGCCCCTGGGCCTGTCGGGGAGGAAGCAGGGAGGGGTGCCAGGCCCACTCACACACTCTTCCTCAGCAAGAGTGGCATCAGGATGAGAGTCAGGAGGGGTCGGGAGGGGAGCTGCATGAGCCTCCCCGAACGCCGAGGGAGCTGTGGGGTCTGAAGGGGGACACCTGCCGGCAGCAGCCGGGCTCAGGCCTCAGGCTCAGTTGAGATGCTGGCCAAGCGGAGTGAGCGCAGGCCAGGCTTCATGGGGGCTGTTTCTGCACCTCAGGCTGTGGCCTCCACTCAGTGGTGGTCTCAGAGCCAGTCCATGCACGACTCGGGCAAGGGCTGCAGCCCGGCTCAGAGGCCACTGCCACCCCAGCAGGTGCGAGCACAGGGGTGGGGCGGGGCGACCTTGGGAGCAGCTGTGGGCTGGATGTGGGCACAGGGTCCTGGCAGAAGAGGGGTCTGAGGCCTTCGGGAGGCGCAGGGCCCAGGAAGGAGTGCAGCTCCTAAAACTAATGAGTGCTCACCCTTTGGCCCCTGCCTGACTGCTCCGTCCGGCTGCCAGTGCACTCCCCTGGGCTCACCATCCCCAGAGGCTGGGCGGGGCCTCCAGTCACCCAAGGTCACACTGCGCCCTGGGACGTGTTGGAGTCCTCCTGGGGCGGTGCTGAGCTCAGGGCCAACTGACCACAGGCCCAGGTCCTGCCACCATACGGCCCTGCAGGGTCACCACACAGGTGACAGGAGGCCCCTGAGGTGCACCGGGCAGGCCTGGGCTCCTGGGCCTGGGCAGCTCGAGCTGTTATCTCCATGAGCACCTGCCGGCCAGGGGGGCCGAGAAGCCACACCCCCTCCCACCCTCCCCGCCACACACCTGTTTCAAGCAGCCTGAGGCAGTGGCTGAAGTCTTTGCTAGTGTCAGGGTCTGAGCACTCAGCCCCTCATCCAGCTGCTGGGGACACGCCTCAGGCTGGCTCCTCTTTCCTGCACCTGGGTTCCCAGGCTGAGCCCCTCAGAACTGAACCTTGAGCCCAACATCAGCCTGGGGTTGAGCCCAGCTCTGCTGCCACCTCTGGCTGCGGGAGCCCACCCTCACCCCCAGCACCTCACTGCGTCCCCACTCTGACTTGGGCTGCGCCTGACCCCGGCCCTGGCAGCTCGCTCACCGTGCACAGGTGCCCAGGAGGATGGGAGGGGGGGTGGCGGCGGGTGCTGCCTGGAGCCCAGCAGGGGCTGAAGGCCTCAGCACGGTTGCTGAGTGACGCGAGTTATTGTGCTGTCACCGCCACCTGGAATTCTCCGCTGCCCCCCCCCCCCCCCCCCCCCGAGGCAGCATCAGGAAGCTCCAGGCCGTTGCCAGCCCAGGGCCGGGAAGCCCACCGTGCCCACCCCGTTCCATGACCATCCTGAGGGCTTCCATCCTGGGCAGGGGACGTGCCGGAGACTGAGCGGGCGTGGCCAGCCGGCCTGGAGCGGGAATGGGGGCCGGGCGGCAGACCCTGAGGCTGCCCTCTGAAAGTGCCCGGGGCAGGTGATGACAGGGCTCCCGGCTCTGCCCTCGCTGCTGGTCCTGCAGTCCCGGCAACCTGCCTGGGGGAGATGGCCCAGGCGCACCCCAGAGATAGCCAGGGGCACTGCCCCTTCAGCCCCAGGGCTCCAGGGAGACCAGCTGCCCGGAAGGCCCGTGCCAGGCCCAGGTAGGGTTTGTGTGACTGAGGCAGGTGTCTGCGCACCTGGGATGCCTTCCCTGAGGGACTTGGGCCAGAGTGCCCTGCTGTGTGCCTTCTCCCCAAGCCTCAGTTCCCCACCTGCAGGTTGGGCTGGGCTGATCACAGTGCTTAGCAAGGAGTACAGTCGGGATCCAAGAGAAAATGTCTGGGGGCTGCCGTGGGGGGCACATCACTGCCCGCACCTTCCTCGGCTGTGGGTGCTCCGAGGATCGCGAGAAGCAGGAGCATGGGCAGGGGGTGCACTGTGCAGGCTCCGCTGGGTCCACACCTGAACAGCTGCGTCTGCTTCTTCCTCCCAAGGGCAGGCGGGCGGCGTCCAGCCGCGGCCGAGGAGGACCTCCTGGCTGCCCTGAGGTGGCCCAGGCCCTCCCCACGGCCAGGCGCCCCTTGGGAGGCACACTGCATGGCCTGGACTGACCACATGGAGAGGCCGGGCCCCCCGGGGCAGGCCTGCAGCCGCCCTGCTTGGACAGCCGGCGAGGAGGCCCAGGATGGGGACAGCTCGGTGTCATCGGGCCGCCTGTCCGGCTCCTCGGGGGGCCACAAGTCGTGTGCACCTGCCCACAGGCCCTGGAAGGAGAGGCCCCCCCTGGTGCTGGGGTCCCCACAGCAGCACGGGGAAAGCAACCCCCGGCTGGAGCAGCTGAGGGAGAAGATCCGGGCCCAGGCGTGCCGGCAGGCCAGCTGCGCCTCCCTGGGCACCTCGATGCCCTCCAGCACCTCGCACCTCCTCAGAGCCTCCCCGCCAGCCCCCCGGAGGAAGGTCAGAAAGCTGAAGAAGGCCCCTCCAGCCCCGGCCTCCCCAGGTCAGGAGCAGCTTCCTGGTGAGGGTGGGAGGGCCACACTGGGAGCCTGGGTGTACCCACTGGGTGCCACTGCCTGAGGCCCCGAGAGGGGCTCAGCCTGGGAGCTGAGTGGGAGGATAGCCTCTCGGAGGGGCCTTGAGCTGGGCTTCAGCACAAGGAAGGCCAGGCTGCTGGCAGCAGAGCGGAGCGGGTGTGTGGGAGGGAGGGCACACGGAGTGGGAGGGACTGGCCCCGGCTGGAGGCTTGTGGAAGGGGCGCTGGGGTGCGGGAGGCAGAGTCAGGGTCAGGTCTTCGGGGAATCGGGTCAGGATCACCTTGAAAAGCTTGCAGGGGGGTTTGAAGGTGCCCAGAGGCACGGTGTGCCCCTGCCCGGCGGCGTGGGGGATGGGGTGGGGGGAGGCAAGGGCGAGGCTGGGGATCTAGAGAAACACCCACACGCAGCTTCCCTGTCGGAGAGACGGCCGCCACGCACGCAGCCCTGCGGCTCTGCCCACTGAGCCGGTGCTTAGCTCTTTCCAGGAGGCAGGGAGGATGCTTTCTTCTAAGATGATACTTTGTTTAAAAAAAGTATAAAATACACACAGCATGACCATCCACGCCACGTCTAAGCGCACGGCTCGGTGGCATCAGGGACAGTCACACTGTTGTGCGTGTGCCGTTCTCTCCAGGACTTTCCATCAGCTGCAACGCGCAGACAGGGAAACGGAATGGCTGACACTCCCGTGTCTCCCTCCCCGCCACCGCCCCGTTAATGCTTTGGGGCGCGTCCCTCGAAGTCACTCTTCACTTTGCAAAAGGGGACTTTGCGTGCACACAGGGGCGGTCCTTTCCCATGCTGCCTGGTGCCAGCCGCACGAGGCCCCAGATGAGGCACACGGGGCCCTGTCGCCCCCAGGCCGGCCACCGTGGTGCTGCTCTGGCTGGACAGTCATGTGGCCTCGAGCTCAGCACCACGAGCGAGGTCGGCCCCATGGACGCACCTGGGCCTGGGGTCTGAGTCCAGGGCGGTGCTGAGAGGCTGTCGAGCGGGTGCCAAACGGGGACTCTTCCTCGAGGTCTCATGACAACCTCTCCTTTACACTCTGCTCCAGGCTTCGGCAACCCGAGTGCAGCTGGGCATGCCGTTCAAGACAAGGCCATCCCTGGCCAGGAGCGTGCACCCTCCAGGGTCTCCCAGCGCCAGGCCTCCGGTGAGTGGCTCTGCGGCCGACCATCCTGGCACCTCGGCCCAGGGCAGATTGGGCTCAGGGCAGGAGCTGGTGGGGCATGTCTCCTGGCTGAGACTCCTGCACAGAGTAAGTGAGGCCTTTCCTGCATGGCCACGTGCCAGCCACAGGGGTCCTCCAGGTCCTGCCGGCTCCTGGGCTCCCTGCTCACCCACAGGTGGCCCAGCCAGGCCACGGCCCAGCCTTGCTCGGCAGGTGCCCAGGTATTGGCTGTGGGTCGGCAGATTTCCAGACAGGGTGCCAAAGGCCCAGGGACCAAGGGAACCATGAGGGTTTGGCTCACTCATTCACCCAACAGATCAAGGAGTAAGGATGGAAGGCAGATGGGAGCCGCTCCTGGGGGCCGAGGGTAGGAGTCAGGGCTGGCGTGGGCTTTGGCAGGCTCCACGGAGGTGGGGGTGGGGGGGCTGTCTCCACAGTCCAGAGAGGCTGCAAGATGTTGGTGACCAAGGTAGGGACGGGGGAAGAGCTGGGAGCAGAGGTCGGGCTGTCCTGGCCCAGGGGAGCACTGAGGGTTTTGGGGGGGCTGTGGGCAGGAGAAGGTGAGTCGGGACCCCAGGGGGGCAGTCATAGCCTGTCCCAGTGGTGCCCTGGTGGCCAGGGTTGGGCAAAGGTTGGCCAACACTCACGTCCAGACCCCCGTGAGTGGCAGCCACAGGCATGTTTTTGGGGGGTGTCTCACCCCAGACAGAAGGGGAGCCAGGTGCGGGCCCAGCCCCCATGCACCAAGGGGCAGAACCTGTCCCTAACCCAGCTCCGGCCTAACCAAGGGCACCAGCCACTCCACACAGAACGGCCGTCCTCCTCCTCCAGCTTGTGGGCCCCGATGGCCTCAGCTCATCCACCCCCACGGAGGCCCTGGGGCAACAGTGAAATTCGGGACTTGGGGACCTCGGCGCCCACTGTCACTGGTCGCCAGCTCTTGGCAGTCACATTTCAGCTGCCGTTTTAGAGCCTCCAGAAGCAGGGTGTGGGCAGGGCCTGGGTCTTGAGGTCCCTCCTGGCAGCAGCAGCGGGCACTGAGGACCAAGGCTGGACTGGCCGCACCAGAGGCCAGTCTATCCCGTGGGCCCAGCCATGTAGACATGGTGGGCTTGCCTATTCCCTTGAGCTAACTGGCCTGTTGGCTTCCCCTCCGGTCTGCCCCTGTGGGATTCAGTCTCTACCCCCTCGGGGTCTCCACATCCCCCTGACTGTCCAGCCAGGGGTGGACTGGGCCGTGGGAAGGCCCCTCTGACTCCAGCTCTCACTCCTGGTCTCCCAGTGTGGCCAGCTGCCATGCCCTGGGTTCACCCGTGGGCCAGTCAGTTATTTATTCATTCAACAAACACGAATGCCATGGCCAGCTCCAAGTTGGGTGCAGGAGACAGAGTGGGAATCTGTGCACAGTCAGGGAGGAGTGGGGAGCCTGCCTGCAGGAGGGCTCCCCAGGGGTGCTCCACACAGAACGCAGAGAGGGGGTGGGCAGCCACGTGTGCCCCTTGAGCCCTGTGCCCGGCTGCCCGCACTAGCATGCAGGACCAGGGAGCAGGGTGGCCCCCACATTGTCCCCTAGAACCTGGTCGGAACCCCTGTGTATGTGTTACTGCTCATCTTCTCTCCCCCCCTCCTCACACTGAAGTTCTACGGGAGAAACACAAAAGCATGAAGAGTAGTTCTTGCAAAAGAGAGAAGGCCCCCAGGTCATCCACCAGAAGAGCTGCCAAAGACCAGGGTAAGGCTGGAGGGGCCGTGAGGGGTGGCTGGTCCCAGCGGCCACCCGAGCGCTGTGTGCAGGTGTTTTGGGGCGGGCATCTGGGGTCGACAGGGGCCAGGCTTGATTGGGGGGTGGGTCTGCTGTGAATGGAGGAGGCAGCGCTGGTATCTGCAGAGCCTGACCATCCGCCAGCAGCAGTGGGGCCCACTGGTGCAGGGGCTGTCCCTTGTGACATGCGAGTGAAAGTCCGCAAACCCCCATGTGCAGTCCCAAAGGCCCTCGGCCACACGCATTCCCAGTCTGCTCCTCAAGCACACTGACACGCATGGACAAGCATGGTGCATGGCAGGCCTATGACACATGTGGTTGACGGTGTGGCTGCTTTCCTGTTGCACAGTGCCATGTGACGAGTTATAGGTTCCACCGCCTTTGGCACTGGGAAGACTGGCGGAGGGAACGGGCTCCCGATGGGCCTGGTGTGGGATTTGGAATTCCAGGGAGCGAGCTCACCTGGGCACGGGTGGGGGGAGTGGCCGGGGGCAGCGTCCACCGTCTTGCCCTCCCTTTGGGGACGTAGAGCCGTCACCAGGGGGGACGTTGGTGATGCATTTGTGTGACAGCTGAGAGGTCTGCTAAGTGGTCTTGGTGGTGGGAGCATCCCCACCTGCAGCTCCTTGACCAGGTGGGGCCCCCGGGCTGAGGCCAGCTCAGCAGGACTCTTCGTCTAAGATACACAACTCTGAGCTGCCCCTGCACATCCCCGTGCCTCAGTTTCCCCCATGGCATGAAAGTCCTGGGTGGGGGTGGTCCTGAGTGAGGTGGGGACACTGAGGCTGAGCCCCAATGCTGGGGGGCAGAGGCAGAACCCCACTCCTGCTGAGAGTGAGGGGTGCTGGGAGACCTGGAGAAGGTTCCAGAAGCCACACTGAAAATACACAAAACGTAAACGTTCTCTGCACCGTCCTCTCCCCGCTCTCGGCTCTTTGGTTTGTTTTGTTTTCATGGCTCATTGAAAAATGACCGGCTTTCTGCCCGACACTGGGTCAGAGGGCGCACCTCGGGCCGCATCCATCATCGCCACGCGTGTCTCCCGGACGCACTGACCATCAGTTCCTGTCAACGGCGAAGGCACAGCTGGGCTAAGGAGGGATGGGGATGGGGTCAGAGGTCGGAGTCACGGGACTTGGGAATCGGATGATTTAGAAATTTGCTGTCGTTAACAAAAAATTAAATCACAATAGTTATAAAATATTCATCCATCCGCCCGGAGGAAAATGAAGCCCCATATTTAATTTCAGATGATATCACCTCACTTTGCATTTTTTATCATAGATGAGGTCGGCCCTGGGGCTCTGACAGGGCACTGGGGACTTCATCCATTTCTGCAGATTAAAAACCTGCTCGTAAAAAAATTAATTGCCATCAAACTGCTCAGCAGAAGAAAGAATGTGCCCGTCAGGACCCATTTATTGACCCAGACCCTCTGGTGGGCTGATGGGGACACTGAGCGCCCACAGAGGAGGGACCTGTGGGCCGAGTGCCAGGCCGCCGGGCAGAAACAGCCCCTGCCCACCGGACAGAGTCGTCTCTCTGGGAAGCCCCACTCCTGGGCCCCCTCAGAATCCAGAGGTGGGGGCGGGGCGGGGGGGGCAGGCAGTTCCAGCCTTTGGCTTCGGCCCTGAGCCAGCTGAATCCTGACCCTCTGGGCTCAGCTCCTGTAGAGGTTGTGGCTGCTTTTCCATCCTTGCGACTCTGTGGGAAGGTGCTTACAGAGGGGGAAACTGAGGCAGGGAGAAGCTAAGTCAATGGCTCAAGGCCCATAGCTAGTGATGGGCAGAGCTGGAATATAAACCCAGATCTAGGACTCCTGAGACCAAGCTCTTAACCTCCGGTGTCCCCAGGGCCTGGGGCTGGAGGGCACAGTGGGCTGGGGTGGGGCAGTGGTGGCAATGTGTCCTGGAGGGTAGTGGTCTCCGATCCTGTCCTATTGGGGCGTAGCTTATGCAGGACCTGGCCCCCAGGGGACATGTTTCTAGAGGGACATGGCCTTACAAAAGGTGTGACTTGGAGGGCAGGGACTTGTTCCAGAGAGGTGTGGCCTGGATGTGGCCTTAGGGGACTTCCAGGGGGCATGGCCTCTGGAGAGCAAGGTTCTGTGTGGCCTTCCTCTCCTTGAAGCCCAGCTTCAGGCCTGCGCTGATGTCTCTGGCCTGGGCACTGGGAGGTGCCCCAACTGGGGCATGTGTGCTGGCAAGGCCTGACCCTGCCTGGCCACCTGCCCCTGGGCAGGCTGCTCTCTGGATGGTCTCTGCTGTGAGGCTCCCTGGTTGGCAGGAAGCCCCTTCATGGGGGACAGGACAACTTTTAGCTGGGTGGTCTTGTTTCCCCTTCATTTGCTGCCAGGGGAGGGGCAGTGAGTGCCTTTGGTGTCTGTGTGTGTCTGTGTGCATCTGTGTGTGCATGTTTGTGCATGCATCTATGTGTGTGTGTGTGCATCTCTGTGTACATACAAGGGTGTCTCTGTGTGTGCATGTGTGTGTCTATGTGCATCTCTGTGTGTGCATGTGCCTGTGTGCATGTGTGTGCATCTCTGTGTGCATGTGTGTCTGTGCGCATCTCTGTGTGTGCATGTGTACATGCAAGGGTGTCTCTGTGTGTGCATGAGTATGTGTCTGTGTGAATGTGTCTGTTCTGTGCACATGCATATGTGTGTGTGCATGTGTGTGCAAGTTAAAGGCAGGCTGCTGCTCCTGCCTCCGCCAGGGCCCTGGTGGATGGGTTGGGTTTGTAATGACGGTGGGGATGATATTGGCATTTGGTGTGTGTAGCCTGGATTATGAAGTAAAACCTTGATAAATGATGTTTATTATGTGACAAGCATGTCTGCGTTTGGGACACACTCTCTTGGTCCCTCATCCTGCCATCCTGGGTATCTTCAGGGGTCCCCCAACCCCTGTTGTCTCTGAGTGTCACCAGCTTAAAAAGAGATTAATTGCCTTCAGCTCAGTACCAGTGACCAGCTGTGACATTACCCTCCCGCCTGCCCTGTGTGGGCTGGTGGCTTGTTAGCATCACCGTTGTTATGATTATCGGTCGCACTTACTGTGCTGCGTGCACTTCTGGGCCTGTGTTGAGGTTTTACAGGCAGAGCCGTAGGAAGAACACGTGCTCTCCCCGTTCTGGGGCCAGAATCTGAAATCAGGGTGTCGGGGCTGTGCTCCCTCCGAGGGCTCCAGGGGAGGGTCCTTCCTGCCTCTTCAGCTTCTGGGGGCTCCTGGCCGCATCCTTTCAATCTTCACGTGGACCCGCCCCCTCATTCACATGCCCACTTCCGGTTGATCACGAGACCCCACCCCGTGCACACACCTACTGTCACGTGTTCATGTGGCCCCGCCCCATGTGATCACGAGACCCCCTCTGTTCACATGACCACTCCCCTTATTCAGGTGGCCATGCACCCCATTCACATGACCACTCCCTCTTGCTGGCACAGCCACACCTCATGTTCACGTGACTGTTAACATAAAAAACATTCTAACCTGTAACGAATTTTTGTGAGTTTATTTGAGCCAAACTCTCAACAATTGCCGGGAAGCAGGATCTCAATATCTATAATAATAAAAGCATAATATGCAAATTGACTGAATGGCCAAATAGCAGAATGACCATCCTGACGACCATGCTATGACATGCATTGGCGCCAGGCCAGCCAAGGTGGGTGCGATGCAATTGGTCAGGGGCCTCCATTGCCCCACAATCGCCCTGCAGAGGGAGGCCCAGGCCACCACCCAGTGGGGTGATCAATCAGGGGGCTCTGCAATTGCCCCGCAGAAAGGCCTAGGCTACCGGCCAGGGGGGCGATCGATGGGGGGGGGCTCCACGATTGCCCCACAGAGGGAGGCCCAGGCCACGGGCCAGGGGGCAATCAATCAGGGGGGCTCTGCGATTGCCCCAAAGAGGGAGGCCCAGGCCACCCTCTTGGGGTGATCGATCACAGAGCCACAGCTGGGCAGGTGGGGTCTCCCTCTGCAAGGCAATTGATCCAGCCTGAAGCACTGCAGTGGGTGCATGTGTGTGGCAGCAGGCACGGGCAGCGCCAAGCCAAGGCGGGTGTGGGTGGGGGGTGGGGCCACAAGGTAGCTGGGGCCTCAAGGGCACCGGCAGCCGTGGCTGCGAAGGCCTACCCTTGCACGAATTTTGTGCATCGGGCCCCTAGTATTGGGATAATGCTACAGAGAATGGTAGTTTTCACCTTGTTTTATAAATTACCATCAAAGGAGGAGACGTAAGTGGGTTACATGACATCCATTGCTGATAGATTAGGGAGGTGGGAGAAAGCAAAGAGGGGAAACCTCTGGGATTGGATAAAAAGTAAAATGATAGACACAGGCTTCATTTACTTAGGTGGGTGCAGGATAGTTAACAGCCAACAATTAACATGATAACAAGAACAATGAGGGAACTTAAGGTCTTGGCCCTGGGCCCTGGCCCATTGGTTGTGCCCTGAGTGGTTCAGAGAAGGGGAAGTTACAAGTTACCTGACATTTCACAGGTATGTTATCTCAGATGCAAAAGGACAATAGGTTCAGTTAAGAACTACCCACCATAGACTGCTTTTTATTTTATTTTTTTTATGTTTTTTTATTGATTTCAGAAAGGAAGGGAGAGGGAGAGAGAAACATCAATGATGAGAGAGAATCATTGATTGGCTGCTTCCTGTAAGCCCCTCACTGGGGATCAAGCCCGCAACCCAGGCGTGTGCCCTTGACCAGAATCGAACCCGGGACCCTTCAGTCCGCAGGCTGATGCTCTATCCACCGAGTCAAACTGGCTAAGGCTGCTTTTAATTTTAAAAAGTTTAATTTCAGACCATCCTTTGTGGTTACTTTAGGTCTTAGAGTTTGCAAAACCACCATGCCAGCCTTCCCTGAGCTTGTCAGTTAGCATGTGGCCTTTTTTCGTCCACAACTGCAGCCCATGATCATACGATCACACCCATGGGCACATGACCACACCCCAGGTCCACACTCCCGTGTTCATGTGGTCCCTCCTCCATCCTCACAGGACCCCTCCTCCTTCCTTACCTAGCCCATCCTCTGTCTTCACCTGGCCCCTCCTCTGTGGTGGGGAGACCAGGTGTCAAGCAAGGTGGCCAAGCAAGGTCCTGAGGGGGGCACTCGAGTACTATCAAGGCCCCCAGAGGGAGGGCTAGAGTGTGTGGCTCCAAGTGGCAGTGGGCCTGTATCAGGGCGGGTGGGGGGAGAGAGCCAGCAGAGGAAGGTGGGACTGAACCAGGGCGCCAGGGTCCTGTTCCCACCTCCCCTGCACACACGCACAGACACACTTGCCCCGTTTTGCTCCTCCCAGGACCAGTGCCCTAGTGAAGTCCTGCCCCGTGGCCCTCCCCTTCCCCAATCCAGGCAGCAGTGTTGGAGGCAGGACTTCCCCTCCCCACTGCTGTCCCCGCCCCTGCTGTCACGTGAACTGGTCTCCCAGGCTGCACGGAGCCGCTGCCCTTCCCACTGGGACCAGCATTCGGAGCCTCTGTGTGTGTTTTCTCTGTTTAAGATTCTGAGTTGGTTGGTGTTTACGCCTGGAGGAAAGGACAAGCCCTGGTGAGGGGGCTGCTCGGGCCCCCTCCCGCCCTCCCCAGGCTTCAGAGCAAGGCCCCCTCAGGAGCGCCGGCCCCCACCGCGGAATTAGGTACCTTGTGCCTCCGCCTGCATGTGTGCGCACGCGGGCTCCCCCTGCTCTGCTGCCGAAGATGGGTGGGCATGGGCCCCATGCCGCCGGGAAGGAGGTGGCATCGGTGCCTGAGCAGCGTCCTCCCAGTGACGTGTCAATGGCCTGCGAACTCGCCACCAGAAGGGGACTTTGGGAAACCGTTCTATGTAGAAGCCGGAGGTCAGGGTTTCTGTCCCTGAAGGGCACCCCTTGGGCTCCGGAAGGCTGGGCATGGCTGTCTCGGCTTTCCCGACTTAGGGGAGCAGGGCGAGTGCCAATGGGCTCCTCCCAGACACCCGTCCCCCAACGTGTGCTCACCTGCCCCTCGGGTCTACTGTGAGTTCGGGATGAGCACAGAGACCAGGAGGCTCCCCGGGGCGGGGGTGGGGCGGGGCCTCTGAGCTCTGTAGGTCCGCCCCTAGTGACTGCCTGTCTTTGCAGGAGACATGGAGGACAGAGCTGCTGAGAGCTCCCCTGTTGGCCTCCGGACACCCCGTCCAGCCACCGTCCGCAGTGACCCACGGGTGCCTACCCACATGCCCAACCTGGCGTCCTGTGACCAGGCCGGGAGCATCCAGTCCGCCATGGACATCCTGCAGGACCTCCGCCAGCAAATCCAGGCGGGGCTGGAGCTGGCCCAGGACCATCACCGCAGGGGAGGGCAGGAGCGCCAGCAGCTGGCAGGGAGGAGGCCCAAGGGCCACTGGAGTGCCCCGGACGTGAGGGTCTCCCTCGGCAAGAGTTCTCAGGGCCCGGCCAAGGGGGTGCACCGCTCCTCCTCAGAGTGGGCCAGGAGCCTCTCCACTGGGCAGTGCTGGGGTGCCTCGGCCAGGTGGGAGTCCTATCCGCAGAGGACCTGGTCCCCCCAAGGACGGAACCCCACCTCCCAGAGGCCTGGGAGCCCCCCTGAGAGGCCCTGGAGTGCCTCGGCCAGGCAGAGGGCTGGGGCCCCCTGCAAAGACTGGGAGGCCTCTCCCCAAGGACGCTGGAGCCTTCTGGAAAGGCCAAGCCCTACCACCCAGCGGCCCTGGAGCGCCTCCTTCGTGAAAAAGGCTGGCGCCCCAGTCCAGTGCAGAGCCCACCCCTGGCCCAAGCCCGCCCAGAGCACCTCTCAGCTGGCACCTGGGCAGGAGAATGAGGCTCGGCTGCCGCCCCCCTGCCCAAAGCCCCGGGGGTTCCTGGGCCACCCATACAGTCCCGCATCCTTGCGGGAGTTCATGCGCCAGAAGGCCCTGGCGCACCAGCAGCAGGTCCTGGAGGAGAAGGCCTCGGCCGTGCAGGCACGGGAGCTGCGGAGCCAGCGGCTGCAGGGTGTGTACAGGCAGCAGAGTGAGGCCGTGCGGGGCAGGGCCGGCCCCACCAAGGCCTTCCCCCTGGTCTCCCAGACGACCCCCAGCATCGTGACCTTCGTCCCACACTCAGCACCATCCAGGGTAGGCACCGGGGTGCGGAGGGGGTGTGGACCAGCTCAGCCACAGCCTCCACCCCCAGGGCCCCGGGGCCTGTCTGCCCCCTCGGTGTGACCAGGCTCTGGAGGGATCCCGTTGACTCTGTACCAGCCCCTAAAGAGGATAGACAGAGGGGTCCAGCCTGAGACCCCTGGGGGCCAGGGCCAGCTCTGGGCCCAGAGCCAGGGTGTCAGGGTCTGCGTGAGACTGACTGCATCTGTCTCTGTTCCAGGGCCAGGACGTGCCTGGGAGCGTGGGGTCACCCGCGCTGCGGTGGAGCAAGGTGACCTCCGGCATGGTGCTGGGGGACCAGGAGGCCCCGGGCAGGTGGGTGTCAGGTGGGGGGCTGCACTTCCTGGGCCCTGGGCCACACAGCCTGGCCGTCTCACTGAGGTGAGCTCATACCACACCAGTGCATTTAGCGCTTTCACTGTGCAACCAGAACCTGTTACTTCCAAACCCTTCCATCACCCAGGAGAAACCCCACCCCATCAGCCCACCCTCCCCTGCACCCCATCTCTCCCTCCTGCATGTTCATATGTTCTGGACATGAGCCTTTGCTCAGGCTTCTCTCGAAGGGCACATTTTCTAGGTCTGTCCCTGCCACACCGTGGTCAGGACTGCCTGCCTTTTCGAGGCTTCATAGTGTTCCACTGGGAGGTGGACCAGGTTTGGTTTCCCATCAGTGGACACTGGGGTGTGTCCACCTCTGGCTGCTGTGGAAACTGGACTGGGAACATGGTGTGCGTCTCGGACCCTGCTCTCAGGCCTGTGGTGTGGACCCAGAGTGGGGCTGCTGGGTCACCGGGTCGCCCCACGCTGGCCTTCTGAGGAACTGCCACTGTTCTCCACAGCGGCCGCGCCCCATCTGTTCCGCCCTGTCCGGTCCGCCAGCAGCACCCAGGGTCCCCGTCTCCACGTCCTCGCGGCTTCTTTTCCTGGTTTGTTCACAGCAGCCGCCCTGGGGGTGAGGTGGGACCTCACGTGGTTTCCTGTGCGTTTCCCGGTGACCTGGGCACTGAGCATCTTCTCATGTGCTCGTCGGTCGCTTCTGTCTTCAGAGGAGGGACCGCTCTGTCCTTGGCCTGCGTTTTGGTGGAGCTGTTTGGGTTTCTTGTTGAGCTGCAGGAGCTCTTTCTGCAGTCTGGTCCTAACCCTGTGGCGACATGGCCTCTAAGTTCCCGCTCGTGCCCTCAGCTGCCTTCGGTCTCTGTTGGTTGTGTCCTTTGATGTGCGGAGGCTTTTCACTTCGAAGCAGCCAATTTATCTGTGTCTCTTGTCTGTGTTTTTGGCGGCACATCTAAGAAACCGCCGCTGGCTGTCCTCGCTCTAACGGTGGCGGGCGGGCATGTGGCTGCTCCATACCAGCCCCCAGCAAACATGGGCCCCGTGAGCACCCCCTGGGTCTGCGCCAGAAGCACCGCCACATTCAGCGCCTGCACACACGTGTTTCACACACACGTGTTTGTTTCACACACGTGTTTCACACTCACCACTGGACGTGTACAGGCAGCAGAGGAAGGCCGTGCTGGGCCTCCCTGACCCTCGCACCCTCTGTCCCCACAGCTTCTGCCTGTGTCTGGACAGAGCCTTGAACCAAGAGCCTCTGGAGACAGGAGGCCCCCAGGAAGGCTGGGCGGATGCTCCCCTGTCGATGTCCGCTGGTTCCCCCGCGGGTCCCCGAAAACTCCAGGACCTAACTGCCCACCCCCCACGCCCGGGGCTGTGCATCTACCTGGGCCCCGAGGAGGCCGAGCGCCTGGGCACACGGGGCCCACTGCACTTCCGGTACAAGCATGCCCGGTTGCAGGCCCTGGAGACCATGGCCAACGTCCTAAAGCAGCGCATCGACCTCCTGACTGCCAATCTGCGTGGGGCCGATGCAGCGGACACTCTGGAGGACCTGCCCTCGAACCCACCATCCTCGCGCCCCAGCACCCACAGTGCCAGCCTGCCCCCGAGCTTTGGCACCCCCAAGCCCGTGGTGCCAGCCTGTCCCCAAGCCTTGGTGCCCGACGCAGGCAGAGGGTCTCCCTGGGGCTGGGCAGACGTGCGGGCCAGGCTGCTTCTCTCTCCCTCCTGCTTGCCTGACGGAGAGACGCTGCTGTGGAGTCCTGGCTGGGAGCAGCGGAGGAGCGTGAGCCCCGGGGGCCACCTGGCCTACTCGCCGCCAGGTAAGCCCCACGTGCCCCCAGCTAAGACCTGCACGCAGGCCACGCTGACCACAGCCCTGTCGGCGGCCGAGGGAGCCCCGCTCTTTCCCTGCCCCTCAGTTTCTTCTTCCTAAGTGGGGAAATGTTGACAATAGCACAGCTGTTGTCACCGAGAAGGTGGCGTAGGTGACGTCCTGGCAATGGGATTGGCACATAGTTTCCTGTCAGCTGCACTGTTGCAGTGGCTCTGGCTGGAGGAGGGGTGAGGCCTGGTCCTGAGGCTTGTGTGTCTGTCAGCTCCCTGCCCTGTTCCCTAAGCCAAAGCCAGGCCAGAAAGAGAAGGGGGCACTGGAGACAGGCTGCCGCCTCCTGCCATGGGCGGGCGCCCTCCCCTTTCCCCTTTCCCCTCTCCCCCTCCTTCCTCATTCCCGCCTCCCTCGCTCCCCACCGACCTCGCTCCCCTCCTCCCCTGGTGCCCACACCTGGAAAGTGACATCCTGGCGCCCATGTCTCCAAAGGATCCATGGAGGATGGATGTTTGAAGCTGGACCGGAGGCTGGCGAGAGACACGGCTTCTGTCCAGGCCCTCGGCCCCTTGGCAGGGAGGTAAGCCCATGAGCAGCCTCGAGTCCGGCCGGCCGTGCTGTGAGCCATGGGCTGCCTCTGCCTCTCACGCCCCCGGGACAGGGCCCCCACTGGCCAAGGCCGGGAGTCCAGGTGCATCCAGGCCTGACAGGGCGGCCACACAGCCCCTGACACACCTGCAGCTCTGAGGCTGGCCGGGCAGTGGTCCTGCCACCTCTGTGGCCTGACCCAGGGCCTGCAGTGAGGAGCAGCCCCGATGCACCCCTCCCCATGCTCCCCGCATGGTTCCCGGCCCAGGGGACACTGTCGGCCACACTCTCCTGTGTCCCTGGTATGGTTGGCAGGCTGATTGTCCAGGGGACACTGAGGCACAGGCACCTGCATCCAGGTTCCACATCCATGTCTGAGTCCTCACGACCAGCCGGCCACAGTACCTGCACCTCTCGTATCTTCCACCCCCAGCAGTGGCTCAGCCTTCTCTGGCGGCCACTCCATGCAGGTCCCTTACAGGGGACCCTGGGTCCAGTAGCAGAAGAGACTGGCCTAGGCTGGGGTACTGAGGGCCCCTGCCTGCCCCACCTCCCATCCAGCCAGTCCAGCCTGGGCCTAGTTTTGGGGACCTCCTGCAGTCCCCACCCTCACCCCAGGACTACCCCCCGAACCTGGGCCATCCTCCCCCAGTAGCCCTGTCCCTGCTCTGTGTGCCCCCAGCCCTCTCAGCCCCAACTCCCCCAAACCAGGAGGGGTGTCCTTCCCGCCACCCCCCCTCTGCCCGAGCATCTTTGGGGCAGCTGCTTCCTTGCCGATGTAACCTTCCCGGGCACTGTGGCCTCTCACCGTCTGGGGTTCAGGCACATGCTCAGCCCCCTCAAGGACTCCCTGTGCAGCCCCAAGAGCTATTCCTTTAGCCCATCGCCCCCCGCAACCTACCCAGCATTTCCTGACGCCAAAGTGGGTGCGGGCCCCCTACATCCTTCTCAGGGGCCAGCAGTGCCCTCCTGATGCCCAGCCCTGCCCAGTCCTCCTTCCTGGCACACTGCATGGCCTGGAGGTTCTTGGGCATCTCCCGCCCCCTCACCCTCTGTCCTGAGACAGAAGTGCCCTGGGCAGTGGTCTCCAGCCTCCCCTTCCCCATGTGCAACACGTGCCCTCCGTGTGCAACCATGTGCTCCCTGTGTACAACCACATGCCCTCTGGGACCCCACGCGTAACAGGTCAGAGCCGAGGGCAAGGGGCGCTCCAGAGAGGACAGGCCAGCGGGCGGCCTCCAGGGGGCTGGCCTTGCCTCTTCCCAGCATCAGCCAGAGCCCCCCAGGAGCCCATGGGACAGACGCCAGCAGCCCCCACCCCTCACAGGGTCTGCCTTTAGGGGCCTCGAAGGGTGTACAGCTTATTAACACAGAGCTAAGAAGCTGGTAGGACCGCGGTTGGGGCAGCGTGGAGTGGGGAATACAGATGGGCAGTTAGGTCTCTGGAGAGACGGGGTCCTGAGACCCAGGGCACCCCAGGTGGGGCCAGTGCAAACCCCCGATCTGTACTTCAAGTCATTGACCTTGAGCAGAGTCGCATACCCCCTGCCAGTCTCAGAGCCTGGCAATGGGGGGGATGTATCCACCTCAAATGGGGGGTGCAATTCCCCCAACATCTCAACCCCTCCCCTCCCCTTCCTTCCCCTTCCCTTCCCTCCCCTCCCCTCCCCGTCCCCTCTGGGGATATTTCCCGGCTAGTGCACCTCTGATCAAAGTCATTGACCTTGAGCAGAGTCGCATACCCCCTGCCAGTCTCAGAGCCTGGCAATGGGGGGGATGTATCCACCTCAAATGGGGGGTGCAATTCCCCCAACATCTCAACCCCTCCCCTCCCCTTCCTTCCCCTTCCCTTCCCTCCCCTCCCCTCCCCGTCCCCTCTGGGGATATTTCCCGGCTAGTGCACCTCCCCTGCCTGTCACCCCCAGGAATCCCCACCAACCCTGCCTTCCTAAAGCCCCTCTTAGCTTCGCCAGTGGGGGGCTGTTTGGTCCTTTGGGGTGAGTCTTATCTTGCCCCCTTCCCTACCTACCCAAGCCCAGCCTCAGCCTGGTCAGTGGAATTGGAATTCCTACCAGAAGGGGGCAGCATTGGGCTGGACGTCTGTCTTCCCAGCACACACCTGCTCCCCTCTAGTCCTTCAGAAGTGGGTGGGGGCGGGGGATCCTGAGAGGTTAGTGTGGGAGCCTGGCTCCAAGGAGGCCACCTGCATCTGCACGTCTTGAGGCAGATGGCCAGCAAGGCCGTGGGCTTGTCCCAGGTCTCCGAGCCTTCCCACCTGAGCACGTGGCCCCCTCCCCCACCCCCGCCACCCTGACCAGGTCCCACAGGCACAAGTGAAAGTCATTCACTAGTCTGCCCAGTGGCCCATGCCTGCCCCACCTCCCATGCAGCTGGGATCACAGCCCAGGGCTTGCCAGCCCCGAGGGCATTCAGGACTGGTGCCGGCCATCCCCTCTAAGCCAGCCTCCAGGCTGTAGCTTCCATGGCCAGGCCCCCAGTCACCTCTCCTGCTGCCCACATCCAGGGCTGAAGGTCACCACTTCCCTCTGAGGCCAGTTTCTGGACCCTTGGGGCCCCTGGGCCACAGGAGACAACCTCTTCCACCCTTCCGTTCCCAGCTGGGACCACGGTGCCAGTGGGGGCAACCAGCTGGCCACTGGCAGCCGGAGGCGAGAACACTGGGTTGGGCCTTGGGATGCCTGTCCATCTGGCATCTCTGGAAGGAAGGGGCTGCCCAGGCCCCTCAGGCCCCTGTACTTCTTGCACACCGTCTAGCTAGCACCTCCGGGAGAGGTGTTTTCACCCCCATTTTACAGATGGGAAAACTGAGGCTCAGAGAGAGGGATTTGCCCAGGTCACATGGCTCATGGGAGGGCAAGCCAAGATTCAGACCAGGGCTTGGCCTCAGGAGCCCATTCTCTAGCCCACCGGGCCTCCCAAATCTGACCCGCTGGTGGTAGGCAGTGGGCGGTGCTCTTGCAAGTCCTCCGGGGACTCTGGTGCACACTGAATTTGAGGACCACTGTTCAGGTTCCCCATACCAGCAGAGCTCTCAGACTCATGCCGTGTCCATCCCAGGGGTCTATCCCAGGGGTCAGCAAGCCACAGCCCCCCGGCCCACTCCTGTGCTTGTAAATAAAGTTTTATTGGCATATGGCAATCAGAGGGCTGCTTTCATGCTCCAAGGGCAGGGCTGAGTCCTCCCCACAGAGATGGAGCCTGTGTGGCCCGCAGAGTGAACTGCCGTTCACTCCTCTCCGGGAAGTGCCTGCTGCCCTGCCCTGGAGCATGAGGGAGGCCCTGGCTGCATAGCTGCTGGCCACCGGGGCCTCCCTGGAGTTGAGCCTCTGCGGGGCTGGCTCCTTCCTGCCACCGTCAGGGGGATCCTCTCAGGGGGCCAGCACCCTAAGTTTAGAATGGGGAGGAGGGAGCGAGAGGGAGCCCGGAGAGGACCCTGCAATGCCCTATCCCTCCCCCCCCTTCATGGCCCTGCGCCCCCAGAGTGCCCCCTCCAGCAGCCCCAGGTCACCAGGGAATCAGCCACTGGGCCCATCCGTTGCCTCCTCAGCATCTGGGCTCAGCCCCAGGGCTGCTCGCTCTTTCTGGAACACTCTTCCATGTCACCTCCCCTGCACGTCCATGGGTGGGAGGGGCACAGGTCACACTGACAGCAGCTGCCACACAGCAGGTGCATACAAACACCTGTGCCTCGGGCCCCGAGGGCTGATGGAGAGGGCCAAGCCCCACCTGTCCCCATGGCCACAGGTGGGTGTAGCCGGCGTCTTCAGCCACTTCTTGGTGGACAGGTGCCAGGAAGTACAGGTCCCTCGTGGAGGCACAGGCTCAGCACCCAGGGCAGCGGCGGCCTGCGGCCAAGGGCACTTGGATGCCAGCCCAGTGCCCACGGTGACGTAGAGGCCTGCACTCCTGCGGGGTGCTGGGCCCCTGGGCCTGAGAGCAGAGCCCTAGTTACTGCTTCTCAGAGGAGACCCCACCAAGCAGGGGGTGTCAGCACCTACAGGCCCGCCCGCTCACTCCGCCCTCCTGGCCCTGTGGTCACAGGCCTGTCCTGGACACGGCATGAGTCTGAGAGCTCTGCTGGCATCGGGAACCCGGACACCCCCCAACCCGCCAAGCCCTGCCAGCTGCCTCCCACCTATCCCACCTACTCACATGCGTGTTTGCGTGTCCCCAGCTCACTCGAGGTGCCAGCCCCGCCGGACCCCACCTGTGGCTCCCTGTGGCTGGAGGAGATGCCGTCGGCCAGAGGGGCAGGCTTGGTCACGCCCTGGGCCCTGCAGAGCTGCGGTAAGGGCGAGCCTCCGGACAGGCCCTGGGCTGGCTGGTTGGGTGGCCGGGGAGGTCCTTCGGGGACCCCCTCAACGGCCTGCCGCTCCGACGAGGTCCTGCGTGTGTAGAGACCCTTTTCTAAGTGGAGAGCATCCATGTTTCAGTATTAAAGTGTTTGGAGGCTTTTGGGACCCAGCGGTCTCTGTGCTCTGTTGTGACTGATCCTGGCTTCGAGGGACAGGCAGCCGACGTGCACCCCAGCCCCCCCTCCCTGTACTTGTATCAGCCACACGTGGTGGGGGCGGGACGTGGGGTGGTGTCTGGGTGGGCAGTGCCGCCTGGTGAGGGTGTGAGATCAGAGCCAGGAGCAGAGAGGGGCCTCCCAACACCCCACAGGGAGGGCCGTCAGTCACTGAAAGGACAAAACACCTGAACTGTGGACCGCAAATCGGGTCTGGAAGGTGCGAGCCTTCGCACTGACTCATTCCCTGAAGGAATATTCCGTCAGTGGCGTGAGTGCCAGGGCAAGGACAGGCAGAGCGGGTGTGGCCAGCCCTTTCTGCAGAGCTGCCCCTCCACAGGTGCCCACAGAGGGCGGGTCGCAAACCTCCCGAGGAAGGAGGGACCTGGGTGAAGGCTGCCCCTCCCCAGCCCACGGGGAGGCCCAGCAGGTGTGGGTGGGGCCTCGGGCCCCGAGGGCTGATGGAAAGGGCAGAGCTGCCCACCTACCTGAAAATGACCTCCTAGGCCTCTGAGGTCTGTCGGGGGCTGAGCTGTCGCTGGGGCCTGGCAGCGTCCACAGGCTGACCCTAGGCAGCCAGGTGCCAGGGCTTCTAGAACAACCAGCACCGCTCCCTGCCCTGCCTCTCCAGAGGTGGGAGCAGGTTGGGCCGTGGTCTTACCCGTCTCTCCGGCAGAGTCTCTATCCTGGGGCCACAGGCAGCCCAGAAGTCATTTGAAATCTGGGTGGCTCCTGCCTGAGTGGCTGAGGGCAGGGCTCAGGTAGCCAGAACCAGCAGTGAACACAACCCAGAGGCCTGCACTGGGCTCCCGTCAGACACCTCCTCCAGGGAGCCTCCCAGATAACACTTGGTGGGTCACTCACCCGCCGTCGCCTGCTCTGTGGGCATCAGACTCCTGCTTGTGCGCCTGTCTGCACGGCTCATCTCCCACCAACCCGTGGCAGAGCGGGGTTCAGACCCAGCTTCAAGTCGGCCAACTCCCGTTTTTACCAATGGAAGCAGCGCCATCCAACAGAACCTTCTGGACTCACAGGCCTCGGCCAGCGCTGCCCAACAGAACTCACTTTCTAATGCCTCACATGACATCATCCAACAGAACCTTCTGGAATGAGGGAAATGGTCTAAATGGTGGGCTCTCCAATAGGGCAGCCACCAGCCACCTGTGGCTCTCTAGCCATTAAAGAATTTTGCACACGGAGCAGCGCAGTGGCTGTAGCCGCGGCCGCCATGAGGGACAGCACAGCCCTGGCTTCAGACACAGGGCTCTCCCAGACACACAGGAACGGTGTCAGCTGCACTGGTTGGGGGCCGACTCCCCGACTTCGTAACTGAGAGCACGCGTCGTCCTCGTCACCATCACCACCACCATCACCCTCCTAACACCAGCGATCCTAATGGCACTTACGACACCTCCCACTGGATCCTCAGCTTCCAGGTGCTTTAGGGTGGCTCCTCACCAATCGTCTCCGGAGGACTTGGGGAGCGAGGCAGGGTCATCCTCTGCTCAGTGGGGTGACTCTGAAAGTCTCGGGGGCTGCCATCTCCTTGGCCACCCCGGGCCAGGCCAGGGATAGCTTGCTTTCTCCCAGGTCACAGCCCCGAGCTCCCTGGGGACCGCTCAGGGATGTGGTGTGACCAGACGTGACCAGGAACTCCCCTCCTCGGGCTGCAGGGCCAGGGCCTGGAGGAGAGTCCGCGGGAGCCTGGGCAGCGGCCAGGGTGAGGGACCGGCGCCTTCTCTCACTCAGCCGCTCAGGGACACACAGCAGAGCAGGGATTTTCCTCTCGAGGGACTTTGGCTCAGAACACACTTCAAGTCAGTTCCTAAAAGTGTCTTCGTTCCCAAGGAGATTGGTTCACACGGAGTAGGAGGGGGACCCCAGGCATCGCCCCGAGTGCTCCACGCACGCCAGGTGGCCAGAGCCCCGGCTTCCAGTCCAGGCTGGTGCCTCAGTTTCTCAGCTGCCGTGGAAACACCCGGAACTGGATCAGCTCTCATTCACAGCTCTCCGACCACTTGCTCTAACCGAGGAGAGCAGAGCCGCTCCGTCCGGGAAGGAGAGGGTGGGCAAGGATGCTCTCCTCTCGGCACAGGCGCCAGCGATGACTGAGGAGCTCGATGGAGAGTCCCAGGAAGGCTCTGCCGTCCTCAGACCAGGGCCCAAGCCCCACGGGAAGCCGAGCACTCCGTAGCCCCTGCCAGCTCTCACCAGGACCCAGGACAGGAGACGGGAGCTGGGGGCGGAAGCAGCACACAGGCTGCCCCCAGGGGCCGGGCCGCAGGGCTGGGGGGAGGAGGGGCAGGCAGGGCCACGGCTGGACCCGGAAGCCACCGAGGAAAGAGCAGCCTCCACTGCCTCGGGGACCACCCCCCCCCCCCGGGGGGGGGCACGGCTGGACCCGGAAGCCACCGAGGAAAGAGCAGCCTCCACTGCCTCGGGGACCACCCCCCCCGGGGGAGGCGGCAGTTTCCATGCTCATGCTCCAGAGGAAGCCCAGCGACCCGACCTGGGGACCGGTGGTCACGGCGCCCGGCCATGGCCACCCTGCACTGTGACAGCAGCCACCAAGCTGAGCCTGCATTACCCCTCCCCCACAGGCAGCAGGAAACTCCGCCCCCCATGGAGGCTCTGAGGGGCTGGTGGTTTGGTCCAGGTCACCCAGAAACGCATGACAAGTGAGGCCTGCCTGGTGGCACCGTGCCTGTCCCCTCTGCAGGGTCATGGCTGGGGGTGGGGGTGGGGGAGCATGGCTGGGTCAGGCCAACGAGCCCCTGGGCATCGAGGGGAGGCAGCAGCATCTGTCCCCTCTGGCTGCAGCCTCTCCCACCCTCCCTGGACGTGGGGGGAAGGGACTGGACTCTCTTCCCTGCAAGTCCGAGCGAGAGGCTGAGCCGGATGCTGAGCTGGACGAGGAGGCCCAGGCGCTCAGCTGTTCCCCCTGTGCTTGCAGGTCAGCAGGAGCCTGGCGGGCCATGTGCAGGGCACTTCTCAGACCTCCAGCAGAAGTCCCTGAGCTTTCTCCAGGCACTGAAGGTGTGTCCCACCCCCGCTGTGTCCCTTTAGGCCTTTTCTGTTTGAAGTGAGCGGGGCGCAGCCTTTGCCCCCCAAAAGCTGAGCAGAAGAGGCCCTGGAGCGGGGACTGCAGGACTCACAGCTGCAGCCTTGGGGGAGGCGGGGAGGGAGGAAGGAGAGGCCGACAGTCAACTGGCCCGGGACACCCAGGGCCCGGGGACCTGGGGGAAGGATCCCTGCCAAGCCTGGGGTCCTTTGGGGGCCCCTGTTCTCAGAGGTGGCACCCCCTGCCCTCTCGCCAAAGAGCAGGGGGCGGGGCAGGGGGGCCGCAGGCTGGGGCCAGGGACCTGAGGCTGGGCCCTCCCTGCAGCTGGACCAGCAGAAGCAGGAGCAGGCCCTGGCCCTTCTGCGGCAGCGGGCAGAACTGGAGGTCTGGGAGACCCAGAAGGCCCTGGACGAGCTGCTCTCCAAACACCGGCTGGCGGTGAGCCTGGTCTGCCCCATGCCTGCCTCTCTGAGCCTGCATGTTCAGCCGCAGCAGACAGGCAGCGCTGGTGGTCAAGGTGGTGCAGAGAGCACCCCCAGGGCCGGCAGGGTGAGGACCAGGGTGAGGACCAGGAGGGTGATGTCATGATCCGGTCGGACGGGACAAGCCCTCTCAGAAGTGACTCTTCTCCATGTCTGGGGACTGTTGGTGGATGCTCTTATGCAGACATTTAGGGAGGCATTCCCAAGAGAGCAACCAGGTGTGTCTGTGCGCACGTGTCTGTGTGTATGTGTGTGTACGTGTGTGCACGCACACGCACTCACGCACATGCCCTCAGACCTACAAGCACAGACACACCTGGCCCATTTCCCTTTCTCTCTCCCCCTCTTCCTGCTTCTGGCATCGCACCTGCTGGGTGACTGCCGTTCCCCGGGAGCCTTCCAAAGCCACCCTGGCTGTCCACCCCCCACACTGTGGGAGGCCCATCCCCCACCTGTCTGTGTTTGCTGGAAACCTGCCACCCTTCCCCCATCCAGCCCCCTTCCAGGCACCTGGCCAGGCCCATTGGCTGTGAGGTTGCCCTTAATCCTCCACACACACACCTGTCCTCACAGAGGCGGATGGAGAAGCACGAGACCCAGGCCAGGCCAGGAGCAGCACCAGAGCTGGAGGGGCTGCGGCTGTGGGCGGGCCCGGATCCGAAGACCTCCTGGAGCGCTGTGACGGCCAGGTCCAGGTGCGTCCAAGGCCGGGATGGTGTCGCCACCCAATGTGGACGGTGAGGTGGGGGGTCTTGGACAGGCGAGGTACTGGTGCTGCTGGAGGAGTCCCCAGCGCCTCCTCACCTGGCAGGTCCCAGCTGTCCCTGGGCAGAGTCGCTGCTGCGCCCTCCCGGGGCCCCGAGGAAGGACAGGAGTGGCCGGCCAGCCAGTCAGCCTATGCGGGTGAGAGTCCTCAAAACCAGCCACTCTCCACGTGCTTGCCCATGCTCCCTGCGTGGACCCGAGGGGAAACGGAGTCAGGCACACACTGGAGAGGCCCAGAGAGATGGAGTGACTTGCCTGAGGCCACACAGGAAGGGTGGAGCCGGGATTTGAACCTTGGTTCATCTGATGCCAGAACCACGATTGGGCCCGGGCACCACTGCTCCTGCTCGTGGGCGCAAGCTCGACACCCATGGGGCTTGGTGTGACTGGGAGAAGCCAGCAGGCGGGCTCGGTGGGCACCGTTATCCATGTCTCTCTGTCCCTCGCTATAGAGCTGGCTTCCTCTCTGGCATCATGTTCCTGCTGCTTGAAGGACCACCTTTAACATTTCGGGGGCGCTGTTCGCTGGTGACCATGTCTTTTAGCCTCTGTGTGCTCTGACCCAAAATCGTGAGGTTCTGAGCCTGGCAGGTGGGGACGGACATGCTCCTCAGCATCTGGTCCTCTGGTGCTTCATTCCCGGGCACCAGGGTTTCCCGCGGGCACCAGCAATGGCTTTGAGACAAGGGGACAGGCAACAGCCTCCAGGCCTCTCTCCTCCCAGACCCTCAGCCCACCAGGTCTGGCCGCATCGGTCTCTGCAGACTCACAGCTCCACTCCTCTCCCAGGTGTCTGGGGCTCTGCCTCAGTTTCCCCTCCCCGCGCTGCAGCAAGAGCCTCTTGGGCAGGCGGCTGTGACAACCAGAGGTCTCACCTGCCTGGCTTCTTGTCTCTCAGGGATGAGCGTGCAGTGTTGCCTGATATGTCTGGAAAACGTTCTTTCATATGTGTGTGTGTGAACATGTAAACGTGTCTGGGAACGTGTGTCTGTATGTATGCATCCGCATGCATACTTTTTTGTTTGCTTAAGTTTTTTCTCAGTGGGACATTAAATCCACCCTCCAATCCCCTTGGCCCTCTCCTGGCAGAGGCCGGGTCCTCGTATGACCTTCTTAGAAGCACAGGGTCCGTTTTCCATCACACCCAGCACCGAAGGCGGCCAGCGGCGTCAGTGGCCAGACCTGCCTCAGCTGGGAGTGTGGGCTCTACTGTTACCCCACCTGCTGTTGCTGTATCTCAAAAGGGCCATTCTTTCTCTCTGGGCCTCCGTCTCCCCGTCTGTGGAAGTGGGGCAGCTGGGCCCAGGCACCCCGAACCTGGGTGTGGGTTTCTGCAGGGTCAGTGGGTTCACACACCAGAACTTCATGTCAGGCAAAGTGACAGTGATTCCTTTTGGCCTGGCCTCGTGGTTGGTGTGCAGCTGTGTGTATGGGGGCATCACGTTGCTGCCGACATCCCACCTCTCGGGCCGTCCTGTAGAAGCAGCCCCGGAGCCCCTCCGTGGCCCAGCCCTGCCGCTTTCTCTCTGCCCTCAGCGTTCCTGCAGGAACCGGAGCCAGGACACGCCCCATCCCCGTTGCCCCTGTCCAGGCTCTACCCTTGGGACCACCCTGTTCACCAGGTACAGGGAGACACCCCAGGGGAAGAGCATAGGAGTGGGGTGCAGGGGAGGCACTGGCCAATGGTAGACTCCAATCCTCCCTCAGCTGCCTCTCTGGAGCCTGCACACAAGGTTCTCCACGGGGCCCTTGCTTAGAGGAGGCTCTCCCTGCCATGGCACCCCCCACCCTTCCAGCTGACATCGCCCAGGCCCCTTCCTCCCACCCGGGGTGGGGGTGAGAGCAGGCATTTATACAGGCACCTTGGGCAGGGCTGGCCCCGCTGCCCAGGCTGCACATTGCAGAGTCAGTGGCAGGGCTCTCAGACCCTCTGGAGCACAAACAGGGGCCTGGACTGGGTCAGGACTGGGCAGAGGCCAAGGTGATAAGACCCCAGCTGCCCTCAGAGTTCACAGTTGGGGGGACAGTCCAGGAGGGCTTCCTGGAGCTGTTGGCCTGCTCCCCTGGTCTGGGCTCCATTCCCGTTGGGAGAGGCCGGTCTGGGAGCAGCCAGGAAGCTAGAAGGCAGCGATGAGGCCTCCGGCTCAGTTTGCCCCGCCCCAGGGGAGCCAGGCCCGGAGCTCTCGCTGCTTCCTGCTCCAGGTGCCGGGGCAGAGCCCGCGGGAGGAAGAGCTGCTGCGCCTGCGTGAGGAGGCCGTGCAGGGGAAGATGCGCTGGGAGCCAGCCTGGCTAGAGTGTCAGAGGTGAGCATGCGCTTAGCCACTCGGCTCCAGCGTCAAAACCACCCCCAGTTCACTCTCTGAGGTGACCTCTGCCCACTTTCCAGTCTGTCTTCCCGGCTGTTGCTGAGGGAGATGAGCACGTGGCCACTTAAGCAGCATCAGCCGTCAGCAGCACAGACTGTGGCCCGAGTGTTCACTTAAAAGTCAGGACACTTGTCCATGTCCCTTCGTAACTGCTCCACGTCCAGGGCGCCCAGCGCAGAGAACGAACCAGTTCCTTCACCAGCCCCACAGCAGGGCCTTCCGACGGGAAGTGCTCACCAGGACATAACTTCCTTAAAGTGAATCCTAGCAGTGGGAACCCACTTTTTCAGCTTCTCGATGTTGCCACATTGGTCCCCAAAGAGGTTTCCCAGCTGAGAACCTCACTTCCGTGTACGAGGGTCCGGGCTGTGGGCGTCCTAGGCCACACCCACCCCTTCCCCACAGGCCCTGGGCTGGGCTGGGCTCCAGGTGCTTCATCTCAGGCACAAAAGGGGTTGTGGGGGGGTGTGGGAACAGTGAGTTTGGCTGGGGCCACCCCCGGGCTCCCCAGCAGCCCACCCATGGCTCCTCCTGCTTGTGCCCTGCTGTGGGGCGGATGCGGGGAGGCAGGCAGGGGGCGGGCAGGTGCACCTGGCTGGCCAGGGCTGGCCGTGCCTGGTTTTCACATTCATGTGCCAAGCTTGAGGGTGTCCCTCTTGCCACCACCCAGGTGTCCAGGCAGCCAGGGCAGTGAGGCCGCGCTGGTCTTGGCCGAGAAGCAGCCGCAGGGCCTTAGCAGCCTTGAGCAGGGGCAGGTAAGGCCGCCTGACCTGGGCGTGGGCAGGTGGTGAACACAAAGTGGTCATGTGACCACAGCTGGAGAATTCTTGAATTCCCGAGCCCTCACCACACCCCAGGCTGCCCACCTTCTCATCTCTGCCCTCGATGGCCTGTCTGGACTGGGGAGGTGGAGGGCAGGTATGAGGCAATTCCGGGGGCGGGGGAGGGGGGACAGGAAGAGACCGGGGCAGAAAAATGCAAGACACACTATCTGTAGGCACGGCTCGACCCGGGAACCGTGAAGAGGGCTTAGACGGGTCCAGGTATCACATGGCAATGAGGGGGCCCACGGAACAGGCCTTGCCAAGGGCTGGCTGCAGTCTCCCACCTGAGAGGGAGCCTTGCTGGAGGGCTTGGGGCCGCCCCCACACCAGGAGTCCTGTGCTGCAGGTGGAGACAGGGGGGAGGGGCGTGTGGAGGCAGGGGTCATGACGCCTGGGGCCTGGGATGCCACCTCCCAGGGTGGGGGTGCAGGGTCCGAGCCTGGGAAAGGCCGCTCTACTGAGGTGTGTGCTCTCCGAGACAGCGGGGTCCGAGGTCAGTGGGGACCATGTAACCAAAGGACGAATTTAGAGGTGGGTGTCATGCCCAGACCTCGAGAAAGAGCTGCACGGGGAGGACAGGGGTGCAGCCAGCCTTGGGTGACACAGGGACGAGCACGCCCCCTTCCCTCCTGCTTCCTGCTGGAGCCTCCTGTTGGCAAAGCCAAGGGGAGCCAGTGCACGGGGAGGAGAAGGCAGGGCGTCAGGAGAGGCGAAGGGAGCCCCCCACCAGAGCCCAAGTCGGTTCATCGGTGGTTCCTTTTCCATGTGCGCCTTTGTGCCGGGTCGGGTACGGCTGACTTCTCCTTCTCTGCCTGTTCAGAGGGAAACCCGATTCCCAGACAACAGTCGCCTGCTCTCGTGCCAGGAGAGGACACTGCTCCTGCGGCATCACCGGCACATCCTCTCGGTGCAGAGGGCCGTGGCCCGTCTGCAGCAGGAGCTCCTGGCCACGGCCCAGATGCTGCAGGTGGGCGCTCGCACCTGGGCTGGAGGCTCAGTTCTGGGCAGGAGATGCTTGTCACCAGGGGCTTCGTGGGATGTGCAAGTCCCTTGTAAAAACATCCGGGGAGGTCAGGAACTCTGGGGGGACAGATGGAGGGCAGGTGGGCGGCTGCTTACTGGGGCCCCAAGGAGGTCTCCTGGGCAAGGTGGCCCTGGCCAGGCCCTGGAGGAGGAGACAAACCCCTGTGGTCGCGGGAGAGGACCTGAGGCCAGAAGAAGCACGTGGCCTGGAGCTCCTTGGAGAGGCCAGGCCCGTGGGGGACCCTGAGCAACTGGGCACCCCTGGCCCAGCAGCCTGTCCCTGGCTGCTGTCTCATGCAGGAGGCTGCGGAGGTGGGTGGCTGGCTGTTCTCTGTAAGCTGGGAATGCTGCGGGAGGGTGGAATGAGCTGGGCTCCATGATGCATCTGGTGTGGGTCAGCAGGTGCACGGCGGGATGGTCACCGGGCAGGTGTGCTGCCTGCCCCCGGCCAGCCTGTAGGAGGGGCACCCAGGACTGCTGACACAGACGAGGGTGTGGGCCCAGCTAGTCGTGCTCTGGCCTGGTGTCTGCACCATTAGCACCGGGGCTCAGGCTCCTGTGAGTGTGGGCGCACTGTTTCAGCCAGGTGCCTACTCAGGGGAGCACTCCGTCCACACTTTCTGAAGAGGAGATGGACCAGGGTGTCCTCGCCAGCTCACCCTCTGCTGTTTCTCCCAGGGTTCCAGCCCTGAAGCCAAGGCCACCTGGGAGTGGGGCTCTGAGACAAGCCAGCAGCCAGTGGGGCCTGCGCAGGGCTCATCACGCTCCCCAACACCACTCAGGCCCTGCAGCCCCTCCAGCCACGGCCCCTGGAGGAGCCCTGAGAGCCCGGGAGTCCCCCCGTGAGTCGTCATGGGCAGCCCTGGCCCAGTGCTCGCCCTCTCCTCCCTCCGGGAGCTCTTTCCAAATAAACCTCACTAGGACTGACCTAAACTCACGTCACCATCACGCTCCAGTCCTGGGTCCTGGAAACCCCTGGGCTGACTACCCTCCTGGGCCACGGGCTTGCTTGTAGGGCTGGGTGGCAGAGGATGGCCCACGGACCCCAGCCCTGTCCACACCCCGATGTGAGTGTGATCCTGGGAGATGCTCAGGGGGACCTGGAGGAGGAGCAGCTGTGGCAGGTGCCTGGAAGACAGGGAGCGTAAGTAACCCCAGGCTGCCCGCAGAGAATGGCAGAATGTCTGGAGCTGGCCTGCCTGCAGGCATTGCCCTTAAACCAGGAGTCAGGACAACAGCCACCTCCTTGTGGCTGCGATGGGGGCCACTTTGTGCTGGCATCAGTGTGCCAAGGGCATGGCAGCCTGTGTGGCGTCCAGGCCTCCAACCCACGGTGCCTCCCAGAGCTCAGTGGGCCCAGCCCGTGCACACAGGGCCGCACCCCGTGCCAGCGGTCAGTTTCCACACAGGGGTCTTGATAGAGCACGGGCTCTGGGCCAAGAGACAGATGGACATCTCCCCCCACCACGCCCAGCACTGTGCCCCGTGCCCTGTCACCCCCCAGCAGTGGCCCCATTGGGGGAAATGCTCTGTGCATGGGGGCTGCTGGGTGGGGAGGGGCCAGGGCCTGTCTTTCCACGCCTGTGCACTGGCCGCTTGGCCACCGATGACAGCTGCCCCTGGATGTGCTGCGAGTTCCGCGTGTGGAGAGTTGTGGCCAGGCCGGGCACCGCGGAGGGCGGGGCCTGGGCAGGCGGTCACACCCTCTGCACTGCTTTGCAGCCCTGTCCCTAAGCAGGATAGGACACCCCCCAGAGAAACTTCAGCTTCGGACGTCCACCTGTGGCCCCTAAGGCCAGCCTGGGGAGAGGAGACGTCCATGGCCGATGGCTGGGTGGACGCCCAGGAAGGGCTGGTGGAGAGCGGCAGCCAAATGGGCCAAGGTAACTGCGGGGCGGGGGAGGGGGGCGGGGGGGGAGGGATAGCAGTAGTCAGAGGACAGACAGTCACTCTGGCCAGTGCCGGCTGGTCTCTGCTCAAGACACTGTGCCCGGGTGTCGCCCATCAGAGTCACGGTGGCCCTGGGTTCTTCTGTGTGACCCACGATGCCTCGGCCTTCACCAGGGGCCGTGACCACAGGGCAATAATCGCGTTGGCAGAGGTTCCAAGACCTGGGCTTTAGCCAAATAGCTCCCGTCCCTAAGGCTGGTGGCCTAGGACCTCCGTGCCTTGGTGACCCACACTCGCCAGGCCAGGGTGGAAGGAAGGTTAGGAAGGTGGTGATGGACAGACGTGAGTCCCTCCTGTGGGCCCCGTGTCCCCACTGTCCCCGCTCTGCTGACCTGGACATGGCCAAGGCCTGCCCCTGCCCCGCCTTCTTCTCAAACCTTTTCTGGGACTCATATCAGCAGCTCTCCCACAGCCACACTTTCAGGAGCAGGCAGCCATGTGTGCTATGTCCTCACTGGAGCCCAAATAAGCAAGTGCTGCAGCTATTTTGCATTTTAAGATGTTTTTCATGTGGCCACAGAGTCCCTGGACACCGTGTCTTCTGTCCTGTGCTCCTGCAGTCAGCACTGATGGTCTCTTTGCCTCACAGGAGACCCCCAGCCCAACCCCAGCCCCTCGTCCACAGCGGAGACCTGGGCTCTGACAGAAAGCCATGCACGTAGCTCCTGGGACCAAGGGGGGCCCTGCAGCCCCCGGGAAGCCAGTGTGAGTGGGGGCCCGGCCTGGCTTTGTCGACCCTGCCATGTGGCTTTTGGGGGGATAACCTCGTTCATCCGGTGAAGGAGTCGACAGGACAGACGTTGCCTGGGTGGCCCGTCTGTCGGGGGCCATTGTAGCCCACTGGGAGGGGGGTGCCTGGTGTGTGGGGTCTCTAGGGCCCTGGGTGCGCGGGTGGTCCTTGTTCCTGCCTATGGCCACCAGAGCACAGGTGCTCTCCCCACAGCTGAGGGACGGGACCAGTGCGGGTGGAGGTGCCACACCCTGAATGTGGCGTTTCTCCAACGGGTTTCCAGCAGGTGGTTGAAGGCAGCGCAAGCCGAGTGGGGACAGAGCTGGAGCTGGACTTTGCCAGCAGCCCTGGCAGGGAGGCCCCTGAAATGGAAGGCCAGTGGTCAGAGGAGCAGAGGTGTGGGGCCTGTGGGGGCTACCTGGGCCCAGGAGACCCTCGGGCAGGGGTGGGACCCGAGGCGTGGAGGTGGTTAAGCCATTGCTCCCCGGGCTCTCGCTGGGGGATCCTCACTCACCCCTGGTGCCCCGCTCACTGGTCTGGCTGCTGGGCACCCCCAGCCCACCCCATGCCCTCCCGAGTCTGCAACAAGGATACCACCCAGTGAATCAGCCCCAGAGCCAGTGGTGGGGGCAGCAGGAGGGGCCCCTTCAGGGAGCACGTGCCTCTGAGCCACGTCCCCCCCAGCTCCCTGATGCAGTGGGGACTGAGGCCAGAACCACCTAAAGACAGGGAGCCTTGTGCTCTGGGGGCAACCTCCCCGCCTCCCGTTGGGGTAGTTGAAGGCCCCCTGCAGAGACCCTGCATCCTGAGGAGACTGGGAGGGTGCTGGGAGACTTGTCTACCATGTGTTTGCAGAACAGAGACCTGTTGGCAGGAGGACCCCCACGACCCCCACTCCTGGCAGGAAGCCACCCAGCTGACCACCTGTCCAGGTGATGCCCGCCCCCCCTCCGGGTCCCCCGCCTTTGCACCAGGACCACCGAGTTCCCACTTAGGGTCACCCAAGGCTACTTCTAAGTCACAGCCAGCCTCTCCCGCCGCCGGGCTTGGGGGCCACCCCCTCCCCCTCCCATCGCAGTCCCAATCGGCAGATAAAAGACAGTAGGTGGACTCCCTGTTGGAACATCCACTCTCAAACAGCAAGACAAGGCAGAGGCAGCCAGTCTGTCTCTAACGACAGCTGCGGTTCTGAGCCCCTGAGGAAAGTCCACACAGCGGTGACTCACTTCCTGTGGGGTGGGTGAAGCTGAGCTAACCACTAGGATCATAGAGCCCACCCACGGGCACCGCCGGACATTTCTTCTGCCTCTATCGGGGCTTTCCGGTTCTGACCCACTGGCTCGGACGTCCCCTAAGGTCTCTTGCACTGACTCCCACCCAGTGGGGTGTGTGCTGCTGCCGCTCCTGGTGCTGGGGGCGTGGCAGGGGAGGCAGAGTGGAGACTGTGGGTGACATCCCCACCCTCTCTTCTCTCCGTAGCTCCTGCTGAGGAGGCAAGGCCCCCCACCCAGCTCCAGGGCAGCCCCCCGCCCCAGCTCCCCGCCCCCTCGGCCCTGGACTCCCCGCCAGCGTCTGTCCCTGGGACCTGCTCGGGGTCATCAGTGGGATCCCACACCCCCTCCTCCGTGAGTGGCCTGTCCTGTCCCTCCCTCCAGGAGTTCCAGAAAGTGTCCGCCTTTCTGGTCCAGCTCTCGGATAGTTCTGCCTCCCTGTCAGACTGGGAGGCCGGAGACACCCCAGACGCAGACCTGGGCTCGTCCACAGAGTTCTCTGTTGGAGCCTCCAGGGGGCTGCACGGGGGTGGAGGGCAGGCAGCCTGCGGAGCCCGGGCCCTGCAGGGCTCC